TCACTTCATTTCCTGCATTAAAAAACTTTCATGGGAGGCCTCTCTGTCAACAAATAACAAACAGCTCACAGCACAATATTTGGAAACATACAAACTATTTTTTCTGAGACAGGAATCTCCTTTTTTCTTTGAAACTTTGAAGTGATCCAGTTCACTTTTTCCAAAGAGAAACTGAAAAAAGTGAACTCTGACATGATAATCGTTCCATACCCACAGAATACCCTGAGGTAGCTCTGAGATTATTACATTTCATGCAAATGAAAATAGTTTTCACAAATTTCAACGGCAGGTCAGATTTTCATCAGTGCATAATCAATAAAGCATATGCATAGGTATTTGCAGATGTATATACTGTTTCTCAGTTTTATATCCATGAAATACAAGTACTAGTTTTTATTTATACATGTTTTTATGATTATCTGTGCAACTTAAAAATACTGTCTTGAAAGATTGACAGCGATTTTTCAAGAACCCTGAAAACTTCCTGAATGCATTTCATATGATTTTTATTCTTAAAATTCATGAAGGTTTTATTTGTAGTTCATTATTCTCTACACTTTGAGAGCTTTTAGTTGTGTTTCTGGCTTCGCAGTGAGATCCTAGGCCTTTTTAGATCCATGGGCCTCCAGGAAGAAGCTATGATGTCTCCACGGAGCTTCTCTTCTCCAGCCCCAACTTTCTCAGCCTGTCTTCATAAGGGAGGTGCTCCAGCCCTCTTATCCTCGTGGCCCTCCTCTGGACTTGCTCCAATGGCCCCATGTCCTTTTTATGTTGAGGACACCAGAATTGCTTGTTTCTTAGGGTTCTGTAACAGTTCCTTACACAAGGTGGGCTCTTCTCCACAAATATGTATATCAAATTTGTATTTAAGAAAGTTATCAAGTTGTTTAAGAAAGTTGTCAATCTCTTAAGGTCATGGACTCTCCTCAGTTCTAGTAATCCTTTTGGGAAATGGGCCACATGTTTATAGTCTTTGGTATTTGGTATGCATTGTTTCTCTTTTGTTCTTTTAAAAAATATTACTATATGTTTTCAAGATATTTTTAATATATTCTCTAATTCCTCCTGCATCACTATCAGTTTCTTTGATCAGTTTTTAATAATTTAAAAAAAAAAAAATGAAAAAAGAAAAAGAATGCTGTAATACTATCAAAATCTTTAAGCAAGATAGGGCTGAAATGTGGTTATCTTACCATCAAGTGCTCTTGTATAGCCTTCTATTTCTTTTTATTACAGCCTTTGAGTACATTCTTAGTCACACTCAGTTACCATCCATAACCACTAATCTGGAGCACTGGCATGGTGACAAAGCAGAAGCAGAGTTAACACAACAGATAAACTCACTGATGCTTTTGATGGTAGAATATGGTGAGCTGGGCTAGGGCTGTCCAGCACAGTCGTGTTATAGACACCTTGAGCAGAAGCCTGTCCAGCCGTGTTCATGTAGCTTGTAATCCTCACGAGATCATGAGCTTGCCTACTCAGTCATGTCATGGGGCCAGTTCCCTGCAGGGATAATAAAAGGAGTGTTTTCCTAAATCTAATTCTAAGATACATTCTAACTTCCATGTTAATATGAGTGCATGTATTACAAGAAGGTAATAAATAATCTTTTCTTCTGTTATTTTCAGAGCCAAATTTTGTGTCATCTTATGACATTGGGAACTTCACCTACTTTTTCTTCCGGGAGAATGCAGTGGAACATGATTGTGGGAAAACAGTCTTTTCTCGTGCTGCTCGGGTGTGCAAAAATGACATCGGTGGCAAGTTCGTGCTGGAGGATACCTGGACTACGTTCATGAAAGCTCGGCTGAACTGCTCTCGCCCCGGAGAAATTCCATTTTACTATAATGAACTACAGAGCACTTTCTTTCTGCCAGAATTGGACTTGATCTATGGGATTTTTACCACTAATGTGTAAGTAAATTCCATGGTATGTTTTATTTTCTTTCTATTCATGACAGAACTAAAGTTCTGAGCTGCTCTCTTCTGCATGTGCCAGGTAAACATAAATACAAATTACTGTTTTGCTTAGCTTTGCAAACTACTGTTTTGCACTGTCCTCTTGTGAACAAGTGTCAGTTCTAAATGCTTTCCACATGAACTGTTGAAGGTGTATGAAAGAAGGAAGAATTCTTAACATTTCCTTACAGCTGGGAGCCAGTTGTATTTAAGACTGTTCAGTCATCTTTTTCGTACATCCTTATAAAGACATTATTTTTTTATTTTGCACACTATTGTAGTACATAAATACATTACTTGTTTATAAAATAAATATTTTATACTTATAATGTGACATAATCATGGATTTGACATGATGTAATTTGCCCATTTGAAAATGACCTTACCCAAAAGACCACAAGAGGTGATCTTACAGTCCTAACATACACTCATGTGAGTTTGAGGCTCAAACCAAGAATTTAATTTTCAACTGAAACTGTTGTATCAATAGAGTAAAATTAAAAAAAGTACAGTATGGTCTTAAAAGTAACAGTTTGGTAAAATATTAGGTATTATATTTTTTGAGGGTAAAATATTAAAACACTTGATGAACATAATAAAAGTTCCCTGGATTCTGAGCTTGATATCAAGAGTTGCTTAACTCTAGAAAAAAAGAGACATACATCTCAAATGTCCTTTGTTACTTTAACCATTATAACTGGAGTTCATGTGTTGCTCAGTGAGAGCAGCCTATATGTTACAATGAGCATGAGTTTGAGCTTAAGCTACTTTCCATGTTATTGGTGCTATCCTTTATTAACACATGTAGGCATCTTGCAGACTTGGGCTCACGCCTGGGCTGGCAGCTCATGCTGTGAGCATGACTAGGTGAGGGGCTGCTTGAATCAGGCTGTGGCGATTCATGACTTGTGGCATTGGATAATAGCTTTGTCAAAGTCCTGCCACAGAAAGCCTAACCAAAGGAATTCTGCTCCAGAAAATCCACAAGGCTTTACCCATGGAAGGGAAACAATGCTCTTCTCTCAGAAGGGCTGCCCTGACAATCTGGAGAATGATGGAGTTTCCTGTGATACAAATTCCAGTTTCTGAGGTTGAGCAAGGATATCAGGGTTGTCATCAGCCCACTCTGGCTCTTCTGAAAATGGACTTGCTAATGTAAGATTATCTTTGCCACATGAAAGTAGTCAGTATTTGAAACCTTGCTGCTAATTCATTCTTCCCCTATGGCTCTCTGTTCTGCCTTGTCCAAAAGAGATGGACCATTTAAAGAGGAATTCATTACAACTGTTAGGGGGTGGGTTTTTTTTTTGATAGCTTTATTTAAATCATATTTGTTCATGTAATCAAATATTTAGCTAAACTTTTTTGACATTGTTGCAGTGTTGTATGGTTAGGATTACTTCTCCATGCTAAATAGCTGCTCACAGATACCTGCACAACCCATATGATATACCTTTCAGCTCTGCAGCTGACAGTTATCCACAGAAACAGGGTTTCCCATGAGTGGGAACAACATATTCCTTTCTCTTGGTGTAACAGCATCAGGTATTATTGAACCACATTCAGCATTCTTCAATCTCAGTGCCTTCAGGATTGCAAGGATTTTATTATACCCTAATGTGTTTTTAATGTATTGTGAATATACTTTAATATTGTGGGGAAAAAGCTGAAGCATTTCTGTCAATAAAGACTCGGTAATAGCGAAACTTGTACTCTTTATGTGTCATTGACTGTTAAGCCCACTGTAGCCCTTGCTTCATAATGAAGCTGGATTTTTTTTCTTTCAGACTATCTGAAAAGATATATAAGCATGAGTCTAATGTTCTTTAAGGACTTCAAAAAAGTAAAGAAGACATTGGTATAGTTAATAATATTAGTAATCTGCATGTGGTGATAGTTTATGTAGGCAAGGAAATACCAAATCAAATTATAATTGATTCTAAAGAAATTGTTAGCATGAATCTTCAAATTTTGGGGTTTCTTTGAAATAAGACTGAGAAATGTAAGAAATTGTTCTTTTGTCCTGCTATTAAATCCATATATCCTAGCTCCTTTTTTTCAGTTCTTGATAGATTTGATCCCCTGGGGTTAGCTTTTCTTTCCAACATTTTTGGGTTTCTACAGTAGGCTTTCTTAACCCTTGTGTAAATTACAGGCTAAGTTAAAAAAAAAAGGGGGGGGGGGGGGGGGGTCAAAGGAAAAAAGAATGCTGTGTGGATCAATTGTCAGCAGTTTTACCTGCAGAGGAAATTTGTGAAACTGTTACCTTCATTGTCTATCCCTTTATCTCAAATTGTGGAAAAGAACAATGCATACAAGCATTCAGAACATGAATACGAGCACTCATAGTTACTGGATTATATTTACAATGTGCAGAATTACTTTATTGTCATGTATATCACATTTTCAAGACAAGAACAGGAAAACCTGTTTGCCTGGCTTCTGTTTATTTCTGTTTATTCCTCTGTCTTGTGAAGTATGCAGTCCAAGTTATTTTCTCTTGGTGCATTCTTATTGCTGTACAATATCTCTTCAAAGGCAGGAGTTTTGTGGAGGTGTCTTACCCAGGGGTCCATAGGATCTAGAGACATACCATACATTGAAAACCCTTACTTTTGTCATGCTGCCACTAGTTGTATAGAAGAAATGCTAATGAACCCTAAAAATAATCTCATCCTGAACTTTGTAACTGGAAGAAAGGTGTTCTTAATGCATATGTTCATGTATGGAAGTATAGCCCTGTGGTCTTGGAGTAGCAGCAGAAGGTAGGAAGTTCTGAGTTTCTTGCACAGCACCTACTTGGCAAGGCTGACAAAAATTTTAAATCCAGTGTTGGTGCCTCAGGTCATCACGTCATTTATCGTTATATTGAGGTATCATCTCCTGTTTGATCACATCTGCTTTGTTAATTACTTGAAGGATTGGAGAGTTATTGTAGTTTTTATTTTTTTATCAGCAAATTGACATCTTAATGTTGTTACTTAGGTTAATGTTTGTATTTCTTTTGCAGGAACAGCATAGCAGCATCAGCAGTTTGTGTTTTCAACCTGAGTGCCGTAACTCAGGCCTTTAATGGACCCTTCAAATACCAGGAAAACTCTCGCTCTGCTTGGCTTCCATATCCCAATCCTAACCCTAATTTTCAGGTACAGAAAAATTGGAGACGGACAATAGTTTACATGAGGGTTTTTCAAAGTGTTTTATGGTTCATAGTTAATAAGTCCAGTTTTGCAGTATTACAATCTTAAAAAAATTACAAAAAAAAAAAAGGCTGAAGAGGTCCCTTTATTTCAACATACTTTATTTTATCTTCCACAAAATAATGTGTGTTGGAAAGCAGATGTACTTCTAAGGGTAGGAGAGAAAAAGCTTAATTTCAGTCTTCTGTCAAAATGAAACACTAAACACTATAGTTATTTGTCAAGGTAATATTAATTCCAGCTTAAGTATGATCCAACTGGTATTCTTTTTTACACTGCATTTGTGCTAGTAGAACCTGAAAAGAGGACACTGTCTGACAGAAAAGACAGAAAGCGGAATGGGGTGAAGGAGGAGCGGTCATGATTTTGTATATTTTCCTGTTCAGGGTGGCCCACACTTGTTGAATAGTCTGATTAAAAGGATTTGTGATGTGTGGTGCCCCTCATTTGAACTTGTCACCCTCAGAAGGTGTAATAATTTGCAGTTGACTGACAGCATGAAACTAATTAGTGGGTCTTTCTAAATAAAGAAAAAGGTATTTCAAGTAAGCACATAGGCATTGTTTTCTTCTGCATATTAACCACTCCCAGGAAAATTTTAGTAAGTGTGATTCTAGCAAGGGAAATGGAAGAGAGAACAGCATTAATTTAGTCATTAACAACAATAGCTGTTCACTAAGATACACTGTGTTTGCCTTTATCCACCTTTCACCCGCCCTTAATCTCAATGAAATTTCACAAGTTCAGTGCTACTTCTGTAACAGCCTTCCCTATCTTGTAAGAGTCATGAGATCTCTGCAAGGATGAAACAGAATCACCCATTGGGGATTGTAGATAGTTTTAATTACTTCCTGATTTATGCATATAAATGAAAATATTACACTGAATTTGCTCTGAGTTACAGGCCAGAGCCATGTTACCCTTCCTAAAGGTAGTATGTTTGGTATTAGCTCCAAGTGATGAGACTCCATTTAAGTAAGCCATACTGCAGAAGTGGACTATATTTGTATTGTCAAAATAGTCATAGTTAAGAGGGTCTAAGTGAGGCTAAATTTTTGAAGGAGAAAGCCTGAAGAAAAGCTCGTATGTAAAAATCTTACCTTTCTGACTAGGAAAGCAAGTCCAATAAAAGTTATTAACCCCTCCCTGCAAACCTTCTATTAATATTTTGATAGTTATTGTGAGATCTCCCCATATAGATGGTACATACAAACAAAGATGACAGCCTGATGGCTGTGTAAAAACAGTTTAAGTCTCTGCTGTACTGTTGGTGCTCATCTCTAAATTCCAGTCAAGGCTTAGGTGTTGAAAAAATTTATTGCTTGGATAGTCTGGCTGATTTTTATATGGCTACTACTTCATCCAGTTCACAAGAGCAGTGGCAACAGTTGTATCAGCAGGCCACCATTAGTGTTAAAAGCTGTAATGTGGCCTTTTAAAACACAGTATCGAAGCCAGTTGACATTAGGTTATCTGTAGGTATCATTAGTAATGTCAAACTTCTGTTCTTTTGTGGGTGCCATCTTTTATTCTGTTGAAATTCCTGTTAGATTTTTGGCTCCATAACTGTAGCAGTAATGTATACCAGAAGCTAGTCTAATGCTTAGAGCTAGGCATAACCATTTTTTTATGACTTGATAATGCTTTAGAGTACATACTTCATGTAGATGGGATATATTCATTGGCTGAGTGTGTGGTTTCCTTCCCACAAAGGAGGACTTGTGCTTTTTGTTTGTAGAGTCCTTATGATAAATTATCAGAAGTTCTGTTCATGTAGTCTCAGAAATAGGTTTATCCTCAGATTATTCACCTACTCAGCAATAACAAAAGTATGTGATTTGAATGAAGACTACTGCTACATAGTGACAATGACATCAGACATTGCATTTCAAAGACTGAATTATATTAATGAAATATTTTCCAGCTTAGACTACTATAGGAGTCCCAGTTTTGAGGAACACTATTTTTCTTCAGAGATTGTTGCTTTTCTCTTTAGATAGGACAATTTCCACTGTAAGACCAAGGACCATGTGCATTTCAGTGTGCTATGGTGTTCCAGCTGGAATCTTTCCTGATCGATAGATTCAGAAAAATTCTTTTTTGGCGTGGTTTATTTTTTTCACTGGTCTGATATGCAGGGTGCACGCAGAGCAAGTAATTGTTTCCTGACAGTTGCTTAACTGCCTTTCCTCATCATACTATCTCTCATTATGAAATCATTTATCTGAGTTTTTCTTAACATTTGTGGGTTTGGACTGATCACTTAATTTCAGATCGAAAACATGGCAATAATGAAAAAATAACTGGTAGGGTTTTGCACACTGTATTATTTTGTTCATGCTGTAATTCATGGCTTAATTTATAATGTAGAATAAAAAAGTATGACTTAAGTATGCCTTTCACATCACTGACATATTTGATAAATGCTGTAAAGTACTGCTTTACTTCTCTAATGCAATTACGTGTGAGTAAACATGTGGATGTTTACATATTCACATCCACTTAGCAGCTTTCTCTTTTGCGTCCTTAGATAGTTGAAGACCGAAACACAAAGATGCTAAAATTAACTGCCTCTTATTTTGCTTGACTTATACATGGCTGAAATTTGCATGTAGTTAGTGTATGCTTTCCAGTCTTTAGCACTGTGACTGTGTAAATTATAAAGCAAACTAGTCAGAAGATTCTGTGTTTTGTTGGATGGTAGTTTTTCTCCTTCCTGCCCTGGGAACATACGGTACAGCAAAATATTACTTGTGGTGGTCAGTCAGGTGCCCTTTGGTGGTGTTCAGAGTTAGGGGGCCTCCACAGTACTGCCTCAGGAAAGCTGAGCTTCCTCAATCACTGTGTGGACAGACTGGTCAGCACCAAAATAAGACCCGAGAGTAGAATTCCACAGTGTCACTACAAGATATATTCTTGGGTTTCACTTTTCCTGTGCTGTAAATCTGAGAGTAAATCTGTTGTTATCATTGATGCATATAGTAATTTACTTTTCTATGTTTACAGTGTGGCACCATGGACCAGGGACTGTATGTAAATCTGACAGAGAGAAATCTTCAAGATGCTCAAAAATTCTTTTTAATGCATGAGGTCGTTCAACCAGTTATTCCAATTCCTTATTTCATGGAAGACAACAGCCGATTTTCCCATGTAGTTGTGGATGTCGTGCAGGGCAAGGACATGCTTTTCCATATCATCTATCTTGCCACAGGTATGAAATCTGACTTGCTGCAATAACTGCAAAAGTTTATGAGGTCTATGAATTTTAATGTTCTGTGAATCGGTTTTGAAATATATATAGTGCACCTTGAACAACAGCTTTTCCTCTTTGATAGCATTCACCTGTCTATCTTCTACCTTCTCTGAGTAGGTGAATTCAGCAGTTCACAATGCCTTTGTTTATGTTATATTGTGAACTCAAATTTCGGTGTCTGTTTCCTATTCTCCTCTGAAGATATGAAACCTACATGCTTTTGAGGGAGTGAATGGTTGGAAATTCTACAAACAGGACTTCAGAAGTTTCTCTGTCTTTTATTCTTTTTTGTGTAGTTCAGGGTATAATCTCACCCACGATAAGATGGTTTAGGATCCTTTGAAATAAGAATAACTTTAAAAATAGCAAATACTATTACTGCTATTTCTCTTTCTGACTTTTCTGCTCACATAAATTTTATTCCTTTCCTTTTCATCTCATTTTTAAGTCATTCATTATGCAGTTTCACACCCTGCCTTATTATTCGCCCATTTATGTATGAGCTTAGCAATGAAAGAAAAATAATCCTCCACCTAAAATTGCCTTGGTTAGAAATATTACCTTCTTGGTTCAAAATTTCAAGCGTCTTAAAAATAGCAAGGGTGTCAGAGAACTATTTTTCCAGAACAAGGATGTCCCCAGCTGAGTCTGAAATACTAAGTTGGACTATTTTAGTTTAGAGCCCCATGGCATAGAACTTGGAGTAGTTCTAAAATACTTAGTCCTATGTATGTTAGAAGGGAATAGTTGATCAAACCAATGGCTTGTTTACCCATCTGAAACCAAAGTAGTTTGTCTCACAATGAGTAGGTGCCAAATATGGTAAACTTAGAAAAGTTGATCAACAAGAGGGAAAAAATATCCTGATCATATTTATTTGATTTTGCAATCAATGAAGTAAATTTAAAAAAATAACATTGATTCAGTAGAGACTGGAACAATCCTTTTAATTAATAAAATTATTATTTACTAATGAAAATTATATATTCTATAGCTTGTTATTTATCAGGAGCCTAAATAAAATTTGCGTTGTGGCTCAATGTAAGATTTAATTTTCCCTTGAAAACGTGACACCATTTTTCAGAGAAGATTGCTTCTTTTGAGTTGGAAGAAATTTTATAGTAATTTGGTGCATTCAGGTGAGATGGTATTACTTTGCATATTACTTTGCATATTATATCTTTCTCCTTGTCCTCCTTGAAAGATTCGTAGTAATATAAAACCTTTAAATGGGTTAAAACTGTGCTTGGATTTGACCATTCCAGTCAAAACATCCCACTGGTTGGTAAACCATAGCATTATAAATGAAATCATGTCAATACTAAGTGCTGTTTCTATTGTAGAGATCTCATGACAGAAACCGAATTACAAAGATACATACTAAATTTGTAATTTGTCATAATTCAGGTTGTCTTCAATTTTTAGCTTCCCTTGCTGTGTTCACTCTTATCTTTGATTCAGTGAGGATCTAAAATTTCGCATTTCATGATGCATTAATAAATTGTGTTCAATAAGGATTGTAGGTTCTTTTTATGAATCTTTCTTACTGCTAAAAAGGTATGCTCCTATAGTCCTTATGATGTATGCTTGCCTTCCACTTTCATTCTTCTGTGTACCTCTGACCTTTTAGTCATTCATGGAAGCGGGATACTACCTTAGCTGAAACTTTAGTCTTACTCCAGCACATGCTTTTATGTAATTGGACAGTGTATGTTTTATAACTGTGAGAAACCATATGATAAAAAAACCCAGGGAACATTATTGCATTCTTGAAGTTTTCTTGACTTCTATTTCACTTCTGTTTCACTCGATCACAGTGGACTTTGTTAGCATTCCTTCTGCCCTGCTCCACCCTCCCAGCTGAGCAAAAGTACTAAGCTTTATTTTCCAAGAAATATTAATATTCACCTTTCAGAAAAATTACCTTTTTGGTAGATATTTTCTTGTGTAGAAGCCGTGGAGCTGGTAGCATTTAGTTTGATCCTAAACTGCATGTGGTAAAAGATTCCTGAGAAAACATCACTGTTTATGTAAACAACAGAAACTAAAAGGAAGCAGCCTTAACTTTGAAAATAAGCAATAGCTTTGGAAGCAGACCGGGCTTAATAGTTTTGAATTCCTCCGGTGTTCAGCCTTACTCCCACATACAATGTCATCTATCCCAAGCTTCTACCACCATATAGAATGTCTATGTTTTGGAAAGGTGGAAGAATAGCATTACAGTTACTACCAGATCGAGAAAGGTTTTAATTCTTGTGTATTTTCTAATGTACCTGAATTATTAAAAGTGGTAGCAAATTGAATTTGGAGTTAGAATTTTGCTACGATGCTCCAAAAAAAGCCAAAAAAAAAAAAAAAAGAAAAAAGCCAAAGGAAAAAAAAAAGCCAAAGAAATGAAAGCTGCCTGGCAGAAAAGGACCTGGAGGTGTTGACAGCCATCTGAACACGAGCCAGATTGTGCCCAGGCAACCAAAGCAGCCAAAAGCATCCCTGCCTGTATCAGCAATAGTGTGACCAGCAAGGCCAGGGCAGTGATCATCCCCCTGTACTTGGCACTAGTGAGTCTGCACCTCGAATTCTGTGTTCAGTTCTGGGCCTCTCACTATAAGAAGAGACATTGAGGTGCTGGAGTGGATCCAGAGAAGGGCAATGTAGCTGGTGAAAGGTCTGGAACACAAGTCTTATGAGGAACAGCTGAGGGACCTGGGGTTGTATGCAAGTGGTAAGAAGTTGAGTACTGTCCTATTTAACATTTTAATCAATGACCTGGAGGAGGCAACTCTATCCAGTGTGGAGATGACAGCATGCTGGGGTACCAGTACTTTCTCTGCAGGACAGCGCTGCCATCCAAAGGACCTAGACATGCTCAAGGGATGGGTTAGCAAGAACCTCACAAAATTCAAGAGATTCAAATATTAAATCCCAAATCTGGGAAGGACTAACTCTGTGCAATGCCAGAGGCTCAGGACTGACTGCTGAGGACACAGCTTTACTGAAAGGACTTGGGAGCTTTGGTAGGCAGCAAACTGAACATCAGCCAAGAGCATGACCTTGCTGCAAAGGCAGCCAGCTTCATCTTGGGCTGTATTAACAGGAGCTTAGCCAGTAGATCAAGGGAAGAAGTTATCACAACACACTTTAGACCACATCCAGTTTTGACCTCCCCACAATACAAGAAGGATTTTGATAAACTGGGGCAAATTCAGTGGAGGGCCACTTTCTGTTAGAAGCTGGAGCACCATGCCCTAGGAGGAAAAGCTGCAGAAATTGGCCTTGTTCACCCTAGAGGAGAGCTGGCTTCAGAGGGGGCCTAGTAACAGCCTGCAAATACCTACATGGAGATTACATGGAGAACAGGCCCATGTTCTTCACAGTGGTGCATGGTGGATGACAGACAACAGGCAGAGAGTTTCAGACTGCTGGATATAAAGACAAACCTTTTCACTCTGTGAACAGTCTAGCAGTGGGTGTCAAGCAGCATTTCCCAGGAAGGTTATGCAGTCTCCATCCTTGGAGGATTTCAAGACCAGACAGCAACCCAGTCTATGTTATAGCTATCTGTCCTTTGAGCAGAAGGTTGGACTTGAGACTTCCTGATGTCCCTTCCAACCTAAATTATCCTCTGTCTATCATATGCCAGTACAATGTGCAAATCAATTGGGCTAAATTACATTTTTACTAAATGCTGTGTTAATAGATGTCATTGTGCTTTCTGCTGCCAAAAGAAAAGTGTGTCTAACTCTAATGTAACTACTGGAAGTAAGCAATTTACACCTAGTGGTGTAAAACAGGATGGATCCAACCCATGCTGTGCAAGATGTACTCTGTGTAACTTTTGTAGTTATAATTCATTACAACATTCTTACAAAAACTGTCTTCTAAAATGCACAAAGCTGATTCAGTGGAAAGGTAGGCATATAGATTGGATTGAATACAAATGAATGCTCTTCTGTCTTTGTTACTCGAAAATCTCATTCTTTGAAGCAGATAGGCAGGAGTAAAGGGAAAATTTGTTCTTCATCCACCTCACATTCACTTACCTATCCACATTGTTATTAAAATACAAATATTACAGAGGAGAATAACCCTGACAGTATAAAAATGTAATCTAATTTCATTAAACCTTAAATATATATAATATTACTTGAAGAGAGACTGGTAGTAAGCAAACAAATGCATTAATCTGCTGTGTCAACAGACTTCATTTCCTAAACCTTTGCCAAGTCATCATTCTGCTAGGGGATTCTGATGGGCTGGGATTTAGCAGCTACAGCTTATATCAAAATATACTTTAGTACTTCAGAAACACATATTAATCTTACACTGCACTGACTTCTACCTCAAAATGAAGGGATATATCAATTCCAGCACATTTTGTGTTGCTTAAAGCTAGCACAGGGCTGATGCCTTTAGGCAGGCTGAAATCCCTGAAACCATTTTTAGTGATTCAGAAACTCAAGAAAAGCATTCAGAGAAGTTCTGAACTAAATATCATCTACAATAGTAAATTAAAAATAGAGCAATCTAGGGAACAACCAGTACTTTTGACAACTTTTCAAGTTTAAAAGACTTCATCATTAGAAAATAATGCAAACAAAATGGTGCTATACATGTCATAGTTTGTTTTTCTCCCTTTTGTCCCTTACCCTGCCCCTTTTATTGTCTCCCTTCTATTTTGGCCTTTCGATTTAAATGCTTGGGTGTCGCATAGTTAAAAACTTTTATCAATATCAAAAGGATTTCAGAGTGGGTTTTTTATAAAACAGGATGCTGCAGCAAAAGTAAGTATCCCTTATTTACAGGACTGTGGCTAAATGTATTGATTTATTAGAATGAATAAGAGAAATATTGGGTATGGGATCTATTTTGAGGGTTTTCTGAAAGCAGTTTCTGGTTGCTGTTTCTTGAGAGTTCAGAAAAGGTCATATTTGCACTGCTGAAAAGAAACTTTAAGGACA